CCTCCGCAGGCCCAGACGGACCAAACAGCGCCAAAACAAAACGCACCGGAAAGCAAAATCCCGTCGTCGTCGTCGCCGACGACGACGACGCCCTTCCCTCTCCCCCTCCCTCTCCCCCGTGCACGCAGGCACTGTGGTGTGCACAAGCGCTGCGGTGCACGCGGCTGCCGCGGTGCACGCGGGCATTGCGGTGTACGCAGTGTGGTGTGCGCACGCAATGTGGTGCACGCGGCTGCTGGCATGCACTGGCGCTGTGGTGTACACAGGCGCTGTGGCGCAACAGAAGGATAACAGAGGAGGAGAAGGAGGATGGGGAGGAGGAGGAGGAGGAGGAGGAGGAGGAGGAGGAGGAAGAGGAGGAGGAGGAGGAGAAGGATGGGGGCCAGAGGGAAGGAGGGAGTAAAGGGAGGGGCGGCGGAAGGGGGGAGGGAGGAGTATGTATTGTCGGCACAGGCGCTGTCGTGCACGCGTTGTGGTGCACAGACGCTGTGGTGCACGCGGCTGCTGTGGTGTACGCAGGCAACGCGGTGTGCGCAGGCGCTGTAGTGCACGCGGTTTTTGTGGCGTGCGCAGGCGTTTTGGTATGCGGCGCACACGGCTGCTGTGGTGTACGCGGGCGCCGTGGTGTACACCGGCGCTGCACAGGCGCTTGGCGCGCCGGTGCAGCAGGCGTGCCTTGGGGGGGGGTGCACGCCGCGGCCGCCGTTACCGTTACCTCCCCCCCTGCCCCCCCTCCCCCCCCAGGTAACATGCGTTACCTCCCCTGGATAAAAGAACAGTAGCGGGCGACTGGGAAGGCGGGCCCAGGCGGCCAGGTCGAGCAGGTGGATTGCTGCAGCGTGAGTCCTGCATGAAGCGCGAGGAAGACTCGAGCGATAGTGCGACTCTCAAATAAATCATAAGAAAAGCCAAAGCGAGAGCGTGATTCCTGAACGTCGGGCTGCGGCGTCTGAATAAATTGAGAAAACCCACGCGGGAGTGCGATTCCTGCATAAAGTGTAAGGAAATCCGAACGCGAACCCGAGGTTTTTTTTATTGGGTAAACTGGGTGACCCGGTGACCCGGTGATCCAATGATCCGGTGATCTGGCGTGATCCGGTGATCCGCTGACCCAATGATCCGGTGATCCTGAGATCTGGTGATCTGGTAATCCAAACATCCGGTGATCTGGCCCTTGATCCGCTGATCCGGTGATCTGGTGGTCCGGCTGATCCGCTGACCTGGTGATCCTGCAGTAATCCGCTTACCCGGTGATCCAGTGATCTGGAGATCCGGTGACCCGGTGACCCAATGATCCAGTGATCCGGTGACCCGGTGATCCGGTGATCTGGTGATCTGCAAATCACCTGATTCGGTGATCTGGTGATCCAGTGACCCGGTGATCGGGTAATTCGCTGACCCAGTGATCCGGTGATCCGATGATCCGGTGACCCGGTGATCCGATCCAGTGACCCAGTGAATACGTGATCCGCTGCAGCCGCGGGATAGCGGGTCACCGGATCATCGCGATAATCCAGCTGATCCGGTGATCCTGCTGATCCGCTGATCATTATGATTAGCATTATTGTTCTTATTATTGATATAACATCAGTCTTACTCGTATTATCATTCTTCTGACTCGCAATAACATTATTATTTGTTGTCGACTTATTACTATTATGATACTTTGTACTTATGATCACTACTCTTATTGGTATCAGTATTGCGAGTGGTATGTCCATTGCCTTGGTCTACTATTATCATCATTCACAATGCAATCATTAGCACAATCATTATTACTACAACCATTATCGTTATTACTATTACTCGTGAGATTAATCTTCCTATATTATTAGTGTCTCAGGAAGTATTCCTAGTATTATTAGTACTGTGATGCATATCCCATGTACTTTTCGTCTTATGATCATGTATATTGTTATGTGGCTTGTCCACATTTCTGTATTATAGTAGTCGCATGTGTGCTATTACTCGTACTATGATTTTTCCCAAATCAGAGCTTGCCTCTGTAGGGGTCCTAGCGGATTCATATGGTTAGGTTAGGTTTGTCGCCGATTTTCGCTGCACGCCCGGGTGCCTGGGTGCCCGGAGGTGCCCAAGGCCCGGGTGCCCGGGGGGGGCCCGGGGGGGCCCGGGGGCCCGGGGGCCCGGGGGCCCGGGCGTGCCCGGGGGCGCCCGGGGGTGCCTGGGGGTGCCCTATAGCCCTATAGCCCTAAGCCCTATAGCCCTATAGCCCAATAGCCCAATAGCCCTATAGACCTACAACTCTATCGCCCTATAGCTCTATAGCCCTATAGCTCAATAGCCCTATAGCCCTGTAGTCCCCTAGCCCTATAGCCCTGATTGGGTTTTTCTCCGGTATCATTATGAATATGATTATCATTAGTCGTAGTATTCTTGATATTATTCGTATAATTATGCATTGGATGATTATGATAGCGCTTATGGTTATTCGTACGAACGTCAGAAGTAACATTATTATTAGGTTTCGCATTGGTATTCTTATTCTGCATAATTAAAATATTCGAGTATGCATTCTTATTCTTACGATCATTATTATTCTCGTGATTTTGATTATACTTCTGATATTGACTAGTCTTAGTCGGATTCGTACTAGTATTATCATTATTGTTATCGTTACTTCTGTTCTTACGATTTTTTTTTTCTGATAACGATTATTTGTGATATTGAATTTAGGAATACATATATTTGTATTCGTATTATTACAATAGTTGTCTGGTCGCTGTCTTACTATCATTATTGTCCTTCCTCTTAACATTATTCTCATTCGTTGATCCGGTGATCCGGTGATCGCGCCCTCTCACCGGGTGATCTGGTGATCTGGCGACCTGGTGATCGGGTGATCCGCTGACCCGGCATTCCGGTGATCTGGTAATCCCGTGGCCTGCGGGTCAACGGGTCACTGGATCATCGCGATGATCTGGCTGATCCGGTGATCCGGCCAGGTGACCCAGTGATCCCGTGACCCGTGGTTGTGGCCAGCTGATCTGGTGATCTGGCTAATCTGGCTGATCTGGCTGATCCAGTGATCCAATCAGCTGATCCGGTGATCTGGCTGACCTGGTGAGCCGGCCAACTTATCCGGAGATCCGGCCAGCTGATCCGGTGACTCTGTGATCCCGTGATCCGGTGATCCGGCTGATCTGGTGATCCTGTGATTCGGCTAATCTGATCCGGGCATCTGGTGATCTGGTGACCCGGTGGTTGTAGCCAATTGGTACGGTGATCCGGTGTTGCGGACAGCCCATCCAGCCGGTGATCCGGATGATCCGGTGGTCCGGCAAACCGGCCCTGAACCGGTGATGTGGTGTGTCCATTTGATCTGCATGATCTGGTTGATTCGGTGATCCGGCTGATCTGGTGATGCGGCTGATCTGGTAATCTGGCCAGCTGATCTGGTGATCTGGTGATCCGGTGATGTGGCCAAAATCTGCTGATCCGGTGTTGTGGCCAAACTGATCCAATGATCTGGCTGATCCGGTAATCCGGCTGACCCGGTCAGCTGATCTGGTGATCCAGCTGATCCGGCGATCCAGCCGGCTGATCCAATGATCCGGCTGATCCGGTGATCTGTGTTCTGGCCAGCGGATCTGGTGACCTGGCTGATATAGTCGACCCAATTAAATGGATCGCTTATCCAATGATCCGGCCAGCTGATCCCGTGATCCGGTGATCCGGTGATCCGGTGATCTGGATGATCCGGTGACCCGGTGATCCGATGATCCCGCGGAGGATCCGGTGATCCGATCCGCTCATCCGGCAATCTGGTGATCTGGTTTTGTAGCGAATTGATCTGGGCATCCGGTGATCTGGTGATCCGGTGATCCAAATGATCTGGTGGTCTGGCATGACCCGGCTGATCCAGTGATCTGGCTGATCTAGCTGATCTGGCGATCTGGCCAGCTGATCTGATGATCCGAAGATCCGGTGTTGTGGCCAGCTGATCTGGTGATCCAGGGGTCATGGCCAATCTGATCTGGTGATCCGGCAGATCTGGTGAACAGGTCAATTGATCCGGCTGATCCGGCGATCCGGCCGCCAGCTGATCCAATGATCCGGCGGATCTGGTGATCTGATGTTCTGGCCAGCGGATCCGGTGATCCGGCTGATCCGGTTGGCCCGGTTGAAAGAATCGCTGATCTGGTGATCCGGCGATCTAGTTTCTTTCTTTAAAAACACTAGTCCGGGTGCTTCCGGAAATCCCGCCCGAGAGCGCGATTTCTTTTAAACAATCTAGAAAAAAGTATGAGACGGGAGCCGTTGCTGTTGTAGTTCGGAGGCCAGGGGCCCAGTTTGAGCAGGAAGACTTCTCCTGATAAGAAACAGGGTGCGAGCCCCGAGGGAGGCACTTCAATTGAACAAAAACACAACACAATGTGCACTGGTAGGTTGAGCAACAAGAACTGTTTTTCAGAAAAAGGAAAATTCAACAACGACAACAACAACAACAACAACAACAACAACAACAACAAGAACGACAACAGCAACAGCAGCAACAACAACAACACCAGCAGCAGCAGCAGCAACAGCAACAACAACGACAACAACAACGACAACAACAACGCCAGGGTCTGGACAGTGATCGCAGCGAATAGCAACAAACATGCTAGGTGTAGAACTCGGCCCCCCGAATTGACAGCAAGAGCAGGAGGGAGAAGGAGGACGAGGACGAAATGAGTGGAGGAGAGGTACAGGAGAGAAGTCGGAGTAGACTGACGAGGAAGACGACAAGGAGGATGGATGCGCAAGAGAAGGAGGAGGCGTAAGAGGAGCACAAACAAGGAAGAGGAGAGGGCGAGCAGGAGAGGGAACCAAAAAGAGGAGGAGCACGCAGAGGAGAAGTCAGGGGAGGGTGCGGAGGGGGACGGGTGGCGAATAGAAGAAGTACGAGGAGGAGTGTAAAGAGGGGAAGGGGAGGAGAAGTAGGGGAGGAGTATGGGAAAGAAAGAGGTGCCCAACACCTCAGGCCAGCCGCAACCTTCCTGATGGCTCTTGAACTTTTTCCCGGCGCCGCCCTTCTTGGCTTCCATCATCTTTCTCTTCATGTCCTGCGCCAGCAGCTTGGACGGCTTGCCGAAACCCTTCTTTGCTGCCGCGCCCCAGGGCTGCGCGTCTTCTGGTGGTCTTGCTTTTCCTGCTTGCGCGCTGGAGAGACTCTTCCTTCTCCTCCCCCTCAGCATCACCGCCCACCACGATTATCGTCGTACTCGTCGTCGTGGTCAAAATACTGATCACCATCATCATCAGCATCATCATCAGCAGCATCATTATCATCATCCTCATAAACATCGGAATCATCATCATCAGCATCATCAGCATCATCATCACCATCATCAGCAGCAGCATTAGCATCAGCATCATCATCATCAGCATTAGCAGCAGCAGCAGCATCAGCATCAGTAGCAGCCGCATCAGTATCAGCATCATCAGCATGTTCGTCACCATCATCATCGTCGTCAGCATCCACATCACCATCGGCATTAACAGCATCCTGACCATCATCATGATCATCACCATCATCATCACCATCACCATCACAAGCACCATCACAACCATCATCATCATCAGCATCATCATCGTGTTCATCCTGTTTATCGGAATCACAATTCTCAGCGTTGGTCGTCATCAGTTTCGCCGTCATCAATTGCATCATCCACATCATTCCCATCATGTCCTCATAGTGCTCATCACTCCTCGTCCTCACCCCTTCCTCTGAATACTGATGTTCCTCCTCCTACTCCTACCCGCCCTCCTCCTCCTCCTCCTCAGAATCGTCACCAATATCATTACACTCGTCGCCAATAGCATCATCACTATCCTCTTCAAGATCATAGTCAACACAATGTATACGCAAGTGTCCTCATCAACTGAAAAAGTATCCGCATTAGCATTTTCATCGGCATCATCATGATCAGCTGCATCATCATCATGACCACCACAATCATCATCATCATCATCATCATCATCATCATCATCATCATCATCATCATCATCATCATCATCATCACCACCATCAACATCAGAAGCATTACCGGCATCAACATCATCATCATAATCCTCATCATCAGCAGCAGCGGCATCATCATAACCACCCTCGTCCTTCTTCCCCTTATCGGTCGTCCCCGTTACCCTCCTCATCATCACCACAGACCACCACACCCATATCATCGTTTCCTTCATCATCATCATCATCATCATCATCATCATCATCATCATCATCATCATCATCATCATCATCATAATCATCGCCTTCATACCACTAGTTCGATTACTCTAACCAAGGACCATCAAATACGTTGCGCGCGCACTCAGATTCGACCCGTTTGTGATCCCAGCGTGCAACGTTAAAGCGGGACGTGGCTGAATAGTCCGAGTCGGAAACGAAGGACGTCGAAGCCAACGCATTCAATGTGAAAAGCGCGATCAGATGAGCCCCGTGGTCGTCGCGCCAGCAGGTTGGCAAAGTCTGTCCCCGGAGGTCCCACGGAGGCCCTCTGCAAAGGCCCCCGAAGACACCTGGAGGTCCCAGACGTCGGGCAGATGGACGTTTTGCTTCAATGTCGGCGAGTCCCGTCCATGCCCCAAAGAAAAAACAGAAACCACCACCGAGAACCCATCCAGGGGTCGGCCCCGATGGGTTCGCGGGTGGTGGTCTCCGTCTCTCTTTTGACTTTCGGCCTCCAGGGCCAGTTTTCGGATCCTGGGACAATCACAGACGGATCGGGGAGAAAAAACCAGGGAAGTGGTCGGGAGCTTTGGGGCCACAGACTGACATAAATCACATCGTCTGATGTCTGGATCGTCCCTCCAGATCTGGCGTGACACATGCTTTTCCGTCGATTTCGGCCGATGGAAGCCGTCCCAGGAGGTCCTCAGCGGTCCCTGGAGGCTCATGGAGGTCTCCAGAGGTCCCCACTGGTTCCCAGAGGCCTCCGAAAGCAAAACAAAATTCAAAACGAAAAACAAAACAAATGTATCCTCAAAGAAGAGGAGCCGTGAGTCACGAGATACGAGCGCATCATATCAAGAAGTGGCGAAACAGGCTTTGCCGAGAAAGCTTGACCGCTAGCCAGCCGACAACACGTTAAGACATTCTTTCCCGTTGTGATATTCGAAACGGAGGAGAAGGAGGAGGAGGAGGAGGAAAAAATGCTGGACGGCTGAAATCCACCGACCCGTCGGCGTGTGTGAGACGTTGTTCCGTTTCGGTCGTCGTCGTCGCCGTCGCCTCTCTCCGGCTTTCCCTGGGCCCTCCTCCTCAAGCAACCCAGCCAGACGAAAATCAAACATCGCCGCCATTGCTTCGAAAGGAAGCCCCTTCCCTTTGATCTCTTCCCCACGCCAGGGGGTGGGGGCAGGGGGCGCCACCCCCCTCTCGGAGGGTCCAGGGGAAGGTCCCGTGGAGGTCCGGGGGGGTCCGGGGGGTCGTGGCCCCCCCCTCTCCGACCAAAACGGTCCAAGAGAGCCCTACGGAGCCACAAGAGTGGCAACACAATCGAGTCGAAGGGAGGGCCCTGATCTCTTCCCCGCCGGAGGTGGGGGGATCCTGGGAAAGATCGCTGGGGGCGGTCCGGGGGGGTGGCGTCCCGGGTGGGTCCCGAGGCCAACAGGGCCCAGAAGGGCCTCCTCGAAGACTCGCGAGCTCGTCGTCGCCGCCGTCGTCGTCGTCCCCCCTCAGAGTCCGCGGGCAACATGTTGACCCACCCAAACCAACCGCGACCGCTGTTGGGCAGGCGTGTCTCGTTACAAACAGCATTCGCAGCGAGACCAGCAACGAGTCCAGCTCAGAATGGACAGGAACTGATGTCGGTCTTCGCCCACTCTCTTCCGACCACACTTCGACCCTCCTGAGGTAAGGGGGAGTCGGACATGGAGGGCCGCTCTGCAGGGGATCCCCGGCTCCTTTGTCTTTCCATGAGCCAGACTTCAGCGGACCCTTCAGTTGGCTGCCCGGTGGAGGCTGCTTCTGCCGGTCGCCATCCTTCATGGGCTTGCCGCTGGGCTGGGGGAGGGGGGCAAGGAGGTGTGAAGAACCGAAGGATCGAGGATCGAGGTCGACGTCTTGATTTCGAATGTTTGTGGGAATTGCGAGAGGTTATCCGATGGTTTGGGGGAATTCCCTTGGATGCAGCTTGAACCCAAAAAGACCAGGATGAACTCTTGAAGAGGTCCTGGAAACAACTTTGAACGTGTGGTGATCGAAAACTCTCGATGATCGAGGGTCGATGTTTCTCGATGCCTCCTCGTCGCCATGGCCATGGCCTCCTCCTCCCCCTCTGACCCCCCCATTTTACACCTCATCCTCCTCCGCCTCTTCCTCCCTGTCCCCCTTATTCTCCTGATGATCCACCATCCTCCGTCTCCTCCTCCTCCTCCTCCTCCTAGCCATTCCCAGGTCTCGTTCAGGAGACACGTCCCTTTTGTGCCGCGCACGTGGAAGTGGCGCAGAGGCACAGAGCCAAGCTTACATACCAACCTCGCCGCTCATGTCCCATGGCGCGGCGGCAGCGAGCAGGGCATGGGTCTGCCGTGACCGCGAGTGCCAATACGGGAACCTTCCTGTGGCGCAACAAAGGTCGGCAGTGCGGCCCCGCTGCCCCAGCCAGGGCCCTCAAGGCTCTCCGCTTCCCGGGTGCCGCAGTGCCATGGGATGCTGCCGGGGACCAGCGTGCCCTCGGACGCTGGGCCAACGGGCCGCCCAAGGCTGGAGAGGGCAGAGGCACTGCCCCCAAGGAGTCCAAGGACTTGGTGGTCGAAGCTCTGCGCGAGTACCAGCAGTCCACGGGCAAAGACATTGCTGAGATCATCGAGTACCAGGAGTCTAAGGCCAAGGCGGTGGACCAGCCTCCTGGGCCCGCTGACTTGGGCTCGAAGCCTCTGCACGACTTGTTGGCCAGGCGGTCAAAGAAGGTCAAGCAGGTGGAAGCAACGAAAGCCAGGTGAGAGGAGGCTGATCGTCTTGTCGCTGAAGCAGCCGCTGCAGCGCAGGCAGAGCGCAAGCAGCTCGATGAGCATGAGAAGTACCTGGTCAAGATTGAAGCCGCCATTCGGGAGGCTCAAGCCAAGTCGGTTCCTCCCGAGCCTTCTCCTGAGGCCGAAACAGAGGATCACTTGGCCACCGTGCTCGCCATAAAGGCCTTTGCCAAGCTCCTCCAGCGGGCCTCTCGCCAGTACCAGCTGGACTTCACCGAGCAGGTCCAGTGGATCGGCCAGAAGCTCGAGAAGGTCAAGTCAGAGGCGGAGAAAGCAGCCAGCGCTGCCAGGCCGCCTGATCCAGCTGCTGCTGGGGGTGCTGTTGACTCTGCTCGCGGTGGCGGTGCCGACCCAGACATGGGAGAAGTGGCCAGCGACATGGAAATCGACATCGAGGATCCTGAGGTCGCCAAGCATTTCGAGGATGCCGGAGTCACCGACGTCGAATGGCCCTCAAGTGACCACTGGATGGGCTGCTGCATCAGGCTGCCGAGAAACCAAAGCAGGGGTGACCGCGCCACGGTGTCGGCCCCTCTCCTTGGAGGCCAGGCGGGTCGCATCCCCGCCAGGCCCGAGGATCGAGCTGTGTATCGCGACGCCAGCTGCCTGGAGATCTGGGGGGCGAATGTCTCGAAATGGAGCTCAGGACAAGGATTGTTGGAGTGGGCTCGAAATGATCGCAAGACGGCCGAGGGTGGAGCTAAGGAGACGCCGCAGGTGGTCTGCCTGCAGGAGCACAGCCTAAAGTGCAAGAGCCAGGTCGATTCAGCGCGGCGCTGGATGCGACAAAGTGGTTAACAGCATGATGTCGGCCTTGCTGAGTCGACCGTCGACGGTCTACAGCACTCCAGTGGGGGTACATGTGTTATGAGCAGGTTCCGTTACGTGGAGCACGATCATCTGTACAGCGTCCAGCTTCCACTTCACCGAGTGGCCAGCATGCAGTACAACATCGGCATGGCGGTCCCTTTGTATGTGGTGTTGGTTTACCTCATCACAGTGTGGGGATGAGCTTGGCCAACATTGACATTCTAGCAGGCTTGGTGAGCTACCTTGGTGGGCTGGTCGGCCCGTGGGTTATGGTAGGGGATTTCAATATCCTGCCCTGTTAAGTGAAGGACGGGTCGAGCAAGGCCCACGGCATTGTCTTCTAGTCGAACCAGCCTACGTGTGGTGAGAGGGAGATCGACTTCGGAATCTGCAGCGAGTTGCTGGCCCCGTTCTTCAGCGCCGTCAAATTCTGGATGGGGCGCCAATCCAGACGCACAGCGCGCTCAAGGTAGTGCTGAATAGCCTTGGACGCAAGGCTGTCATCACACGGCCGGTCTTTCCTTTCAAGTTTCCGAGCGAGAAGCCGCCTCCTGGTAGGGAGGCCCCCCGGGAGGCTTCACTCGATTCGTGGCCCTGGAATGTGGGGCAGGCGATCCCACAAGATATCAGCGAGGCGTGTGCTGTCTGGTTCAACCACGCGGAAGCGTATCTGGCAGAGTTTCACGATTTGAAGGGTTGGAGTCAGGCTCATTGGCGAGGGCGTGCGAGCTAACTTCGCACCGTCACTGAGCCGTTTGAACTAGCCTGGGACAGAACTCTCAAGCAGCACACGTATGTAGAGCACCGATGCTGGGCCAGGATTTGTTCGGCGGCCTTTCGCCTGTGCGCCTGAGTTGCCGCTGCCAAGAGATCGACGAGAGCCAGGTCTCGCTTGCCTCCGTCGGCAGAAGGTTACGTTTGACCGTATCGATGTCGGGCCGTGACCTATTGAGGGTCCCTTGGCCCCCCTGGGCGAGCTCGGCGCGATCGGATCTTATAGACCTGCTCTCGTCAGGGCAGCCTCAAAGATACATGATGCCAATTGTTTGGGGGGGCTGTCAAGGGCCAATGAGTCCAGTTGCAGAGAAAAGCTCGATACGATGCACCTCAGGACTGGAGGTCCTGAACGCAGGAGGCTGCAACGAACGACGACGGCTGTGCAGCTTACAGGTTCGCTCGCGATACACTAGAGCAATCGCAAGTGTATGCTGTGGACGAAAAGTCCAACATCTCGTTGCCAGTAGCTGGCTATCAGGCGTTAAAACAGATCACCTTGCAACGGGAGCCTCTGTGGGTCCAGGCCTGTCGAGCTCATGAGAAGCACTCGAGAGATTGGGAGTTCCAGGGTCTCCGCAACCGTATCGATGCTGCTCCAGGGATCGCGGGGGATCGGCAGGTGCTTGACCCTCTGGCGCCGCTACCCCCTCTGACCCTGGATGATTCAGATAGGAATCTAGCTACATATAGTGCGACTCGTGGCCTGGGCTCGGACAGATTTCACCCTAGGCAAGTTTCTTGGTTCCCAGTAAGCTATAAGCAAGCGTTCCTGAATATATTGCATGCTTGGGAGCAGCAGCCGCAGAATGTCAGTCTCTGGACTTTGGTAGTGTTTTCCTTGAGTAAGCCCAGTACTCCAGGAGGTGTGAGACCCTACTCGCTGTGGTGTCGCGTGTGGTTGAGGCTTCGTCAGCCTGTCGCCCGCCGTTGGGAGAAGTCATTGGGAAACCTAGCCTTCTGGGGGGACTCGGGCTACACGTGTGACCGATCAGGGCCCGTGCACAACATCCTTCAGCGTTTTGCGAAACTCAAGGGTTTCAGCGCGGCCAGTGGCATGCTAGATCTTACGATATACTACACGAATCTATTTCACATGCCGAGCTCCGGGCCAAAGCAATCAAGACCGGCTTTCCGCTGACGCTCATGCGTTGCTCGCGCGCGGCGTACCGGCTTCCTCGCAGGGCCTGTTGGCAAGGAGCTATATCGGAGGCCATCGAAGCTAATGGCACGGTGGCAGCCGGGCGCTCAGGAGCGCTCGCCCTCGCGAAGCTTCTGATTCATACGTTGCTTGCAAAGTTGCAGGCGCAATTTTCAGCTGTCAGGTTCCAGAACTTCATAAATGATATGTTACTACAATCGGTAGGGAGTCTTGAACACGTAGTTAATCAATTCCCCGAGGCTATGATGACCTTAGACCAGGGCTTGGAGGCCGAAGGTCTTCGTGTCAATTGGGATAAAACGGGAAATCTTGCGTCGACCTCGGAACTTTCGACCACTCTGAACGAGCGCTGGACGCTGATTGAGGAGGCTCGTGCTTCGGGATCTCGCTGTCTTGGCACGGACGCCAACGATGGCAGCGATGAGGCGAGTTTCTGAGCAGGACAAGCGTTTCAAGAAGGCTCAGCGCGTGACTACCAAAGTGCAGGAGCCGACGTCAGCACAAGTGTGAGGGGGTCTCCAACGGCCACTGCCGTTTGGGGTTCGGCTGTGACGGGGATTGCTGACCGAAAACTGCACGCCTTAAGGGTGTCTACCCTGAGAGCGGAAGGCCGCCTTCTTTTGGGCTCCTCGGTCGGCCTGCGCCTGAGGGTCTCGCCGCGGGGGGCCTTCCGTGATCCTCGGGTCGTTTACGTCGTCGGAATCGTGAAACACTGGGCCCTGGCGGCTGCCTCGGACCTCCTAGGGCTCGGGCCCATGAGGGCCGTTTGGGAAGCCGGCCGAGGGTGGTTGAGCAAGCCCAAACCATGGGCTCAGTGTGTGGACCCTGCGCAGGCGACCCTCTTGGCTTTGTCTCGGGTGGGAGTCTCGATGACTTCTGCGCGTACGGCCAAAGTTTTTGGCATCGCGTATTCCTTTCGGGAATTCAGCGCGGGCGTTTTCTGCGAGAGAGCTCGAGAATCCGCTCTGGCTGCATCGGACGTCTTGTCGATGAAGCGACTGCCAGGTGCCTGGGTCAGCCAGTTGCACTCGGGTGCTCTTGCGTGGTTCCTCAACAAAACGACGAGCGATACCTGGAGCACGCACCATAAAGCGGCGCTTCGTAGCCTCGTTGGCGGCAGCCACAGGACACAATCGAGATTGTTCAGTCATCACAACAGTCAGCATGACAGGTGTGTGCTGTGCGGGTGAAAAGGGGCGCTGTACTACAGGTTCAGTGAAGACCCCTGAATAGAGCACATCCGTCGTGAAGAGTGCCCGGCCTTTTTGCGGAGGGCAGCGCTTGCAGTGAATGAAAAAATGAGGCCCACGGAGAGCTGTTTGCCAGGTGTGTTCCCCACGCCTCGATGGAGCTTTCCCCAGGTGGAGCCTGAGGTCAAGATATGGTGGGAGGGAGTTCCTGCGGGCTGAAGTGGTCCGGGTCCATTGCTGTTGATAGCAGTGCTTATCACACCTCGCTCCCAGGCATCAGCAGAGCGGGGTTTGCAGCTAGATAGGGCCGGCACGGTCGTGGCTGCTTGCTGTGGCACTGTACCCTTCCATGTAGCTCCCCTCCAGCAGGCTCGCGATTGATAGGGCATGGCCTTTTCGGTTCTCGCGAAACACTCTGAGTGGATTGAGAAAACTCCGTTGCACTTATATTCCGACTGTGCCGCTTCTGTTGGTTGTGCTAGCGACCCAGCCATGAACCCCCGCCAACACTTCTAGAGGGAGTGGTGGAGCGGGATTGGCCGTCGAGCGAGCTTGTTTAAAGTAAAGGCACGTGTAGGTTTGCAGGACGTCAGCTGTGATTACGAGACGTGGAAGATCGTCTTGTTCGTGCAACGCCTTGATAAACTGGCGGTCACGGCCGCCCAGTGGCGTGCGAGGGACTAGGAAATCTGTGGGGCTTTGGGGTTTGCTGACTCGGAAGGCGTTGCTGGGACCTCGGGTGTAGCTCTAGACCTGGATGGAGCGGACCTCCTGGAAGCGGAGTGGGAGAGATATGGAGCTGTCCGTTTGAGGATGTGGAGGGCGCGGCACTTGTGGGCTGCTGCCCCTCCAGCTCCTCCTCCTCCTCCTCCTCCTCCTTCTCCTCCTCCTCCTCCTCCTCCTCCTCCTCCACCTCCTCCTCCACCTCCTACTCCTCCTCCACCTCCTCCTCCTCCTCCTCCTTCTCCTCCTCCTCCTCTCCCTCCCCCTCCTCCCGCCGAGGACTTGGTTCCGAGTTCGGGGGCTCCCTGGACTTTAAATGGACACAGTGTGGTCCAGGCGGCCCTCATTAGCCTCGAAGGGGGCTAGAAGGTTCCTTCTGGGGACTATGTCATGTTTTGCAAGGTCTGCGGGGCTTAGATGTTCAAGCAAGTTCGGTCTGGTGAGGGCCTGGATGGCCTCTGTAAGGGCTCTGCGGCTCCAGGCCTGCGGACCCAGCGGGCCAGGCTTCGGAAAGGGTTCTTTCCAGGGCGTGTCCAGGCCATGACTGGCGACGTGTCAGGCCCGACCGCCGCGCAGGTGGATGCACTGTCGCCCCGTCTGCGATCGCAGGCGCGCGGCGCGGATGGAGCTGTCGAGGCGGCGGTCGGCACCGCCGCCGCATCTCAAGGGCTGGGGGAGCGTGCCTGTCCGTCGTCGTCGGCCTTGTCGTCGTCGGTCTATGGGCCGAGTGAGCCTCCCTCCACGGCGTTTCGCCCCCCACTGCTGATGTTGAGTTTGCAGCAGAGTACTGTGGGGTTCGTGTGGAGGCCATGCATTTCGAGCCCCCTCAGGGCGAGGAGTGAGCTCTCTTTTTTCGCGGCCGTTGAGCCGAGCGTTTCCTCCGGGATTCGATGTAGCCAGACTCGGTCTCGGCCTCCTGTTCCTACTCAACCTCCTCCTCCTCAACCTCCTCCTCCTCCCCTCTCCTCCTCCTCCTCCTCCTCCTCCTCCTCCTCCTCCTCCTCCTCCTCCTCCTCCTCCTCCTCCTCCTCCTCCTCCTCCGCCTCCTTTCCTGTTCCTGATTCAGAACTTCTCCATGTCGCACCCCGAGGCCAGACTCTAGGGCGGGCTGGGTGTTTCGCCTAAGACCTCCTCACCAT